TTATCAATTACTTGTATCAAAATTTATAAGAAAACAAACACAATATTTTATATAAAAATTTTTTTATTTAAGTAATTTTTCTTATAAAAGATACTGTTAATGAAGTGAAAAGTTTAGCTAAGAAAATAGCATGAATAAGAAACTTTAGTCTTCCATAGTTTTAATAAAGATTAAACTTTTTTCTAGTAGACTCCTCTATATTATTTGGTATTCAAGCTAAAAGAAAAAGTATTTCTAGTAGTATAACCTTTTGGTAAAAAAGACTTATCTAAAAAAGTTTGAATATAAAATTTGTAATATACTCTCTAAATATAAAGTTGGAATATTCATATATTTGTCTTTTTTTTTTAGCTTTTTTTTTCAAAAAATGAAAAATTTGGCTTACTTTCTCTAAAAAATCTGCATAATACAACTACTTTCTTTTGTGATTTTGTTGTTATATGACCTTGTATAAAGATAACAAACATATGAAATAGCCTATTATTATGATATAAACAAAACTAGATTTAACACATGAAGAGAATATACAGAGATATGCATTTTTATTTGTTATATAATATAATATTTTTAATTTTTTACTCCTTCGAGGAATATTTTTCTTTTAGTTTTTTAGTATATATATGAGTTTTTAACTTGTTAACAAGTTTTTCTTCCTATATATTATATTCATATAATATGTAGTATATTTTTTTTGTTATATGTAACAATTTTTAAACTTTTTTATATTTTGAGACTAGGTATTAACTACTTTTAGCTTAGTACAAATTAGGTTAGAAAAGACTTAGAATCTTGATATTAGGCTAAGAGTTACTATTATTAATCAAATTCTGAAAAATTTGTCTATACAGATTAAGGTTTTTATAAGAAAATAAGCTTCTGCAGCAGATCAAACTTGAGTACCCTTGAGGTAGCTAAGTTAGTTCAAAATAGTTTTAGAAGGATTTATTTTGTATACTTGTATATTAGAATAGTCTTATGCTTATATTTAAGCTTTTTTTAATAAAGTAATAAGCAAGATTACTTAAGTTATAAAAAAAAAAAAAGAATAAATTTCAATAGTCATACTAGTTAACATTTGATTTAAAAAAGAAAATCTGTATGTAAAAAGATTAACAAAATAGATATAAGTAAGTCTATTATATAAAGTCATATAACAATACTATTTTGACTTAGTAGCTAACTGAATTTAGAAAGATCTATCTTATGAAATATCTAGAGACATAGATAACTAACTCAGTAGAAAGCTATAGTAGAAACTAGATTTATATAAATATCAAACAAAGATATATATAAGCTAGATTGAAATATAGTATAGAATAGTTAGATTCTATAGTACCTATTAATTAAAGAGTTAATAAAGAAGTACTTTGAGATAAGGTCTAGGTTCTTAATTATAAAGTTTGTAGATATTATATTAGCTCAGATACTTTCTAGGAAAAGTAGTATAAGGTTAGATTAGCTTAGTAATAAATAGATAGAATATGAATAAGGTATAGGGTCAGAAGGTTTAAATAGAGAATTTTTAAATAAATTTCAGATATCATAACTAGTATAGAACTTTCAAACAGACTACTTAAAATAGACAATCTAAAGTTGTATATATACTTAGTTGTACTCTTATAATATATATCATTATTTACTATTAATACTAATAAAAGTTTCAGCTAATAGTATTTGTATAAAATAAAAAATAAAAAAATAAAGAATCGTTCATAACAATATGTATTTAGATATTTAAAAAAATAGTAGAAAATTTTAAATAGAATATATTGTATCAATTTAGAATAAATAATTAGAATAATTCATATATGCTATATTTTATATAATATTTGTATTGATAATAATAATATATTAGATAATAAAAAGAATAGTAACAATAATACAGATAAATATAAAATTAATGAAACAATAATAGAAAATGAAAGAGAAAATATTGCAGATATACAAAAAAGAGAATATCTAGCAAATATTCTTATAAATTTTTAATATTTATTATTTAGCAATATAGTATCTTTTTAATTATAATTATATAAATTATATATTTTTAAAATTTTATTAAAAACTGCTTAAATATATCTATTTGTTTGTTATGCTATTTTTGTTAAATTTTATATGAATATATATATTGATCTTTTATTGTTTCAACTATTATCTCTGTTTGCTCTTTAATAAAATTTTGAAAATTTTTAATATAACCTTTTTATAATTAATATAGCTATTTTTTTATTTTTTAAGATTTAAAAAATAAATATAAAACAATAATTATAATAAAATAAATAAATAAATAAAAAATACTTGTTTCATTATTTTTATAATTATTTGAGTTATCATTTTTTTTTTTTTTTATATTTAATTCTATTAATTGAATTACTTGTAACTAAAACTAAAATACTTGAATCATCTTTTAAACATTTATTCATATCTTTAAAAAATTTTTACTCATTCTGAACTATTTCTTTACCAGTATTTTAATAATATCTTTTATATTCTGATATTTTTGATATAAAAAATCTTATTTTTGCTAAAATAATATCTTAGATCATTTTTTTAAAACTAAACTTGAAATCAAATCTTAAATGTTTAAAATAATTTGATTACAGATATGCTCTTTCTTTTTTGAGTCTCTTATCTGTTGCAATGCTTATTAATTTTTACTAACTTCCTCAATAAGAATCCTAATTTCAGATAATATCTAATAATGATTTGTTTTACTACTTGAAGCAGTATTAGAAGAATTTGATGATAACTTATTTGTGGCTTGAAAAATAAGCAAATTTTCTTGATTATAATTAGGATTATTAACAGGAGGTTCTAACAAAGATATCTAAAAAAAAATGTTTTTAATTTTAATTTTTCTAATTTTTTTGTTTTTTTATAATAAATATTATTTGTTTTTTATACCTCATTATATTCTGTAGTTTTGTTTAATGCTATAAGGTTAAAAAAAGTTATGCAGCAGCAGAATACTGTTGTGCAGCAGAATACTGTTGTGTGACAGAATATTGTTGCAACATCATACGTAAATTAGTAAAATCTGTAAAAGGCATAAAAGGAACATTAGAAACATTTTGAGCAATAGAAGCATTTGGGGTAGTTGAAGAGGTGGCGGAAATATTTGGAATAGCTGAAGAAGTAGTAGGGGTTGTTGGCGACGATATCATTTTTTTCGTTACTCTTTTTTTTTTTATTATGATTTGTTAAAGACATAATTTCACGAATCAATTGTAAATGAAATGAATGAATTGTAAATAAAAGAATTTGCTCAATCATTGATCGCGATGTATATATCAATTGATTGCAATGGTTGTGCGTCATTTCGATCACTATCTAATCACATCGAGTAAGATGCTTGAGAGCACCCAAAATCAAACTTGCTCTATGCTATTGTCTGCTATGCTGATGTACTCAAAATTTGATTCCGTTCTTGATGCACTTTTAGTAATAACTACTTACCCAAATTTGATGAATTTTTTTTTTTGTTTAATTCTATGGATATGAAATTCAAATAAAAAAAAATTCATCGATTTTGATCGGGCGGTTTGAGATATCTTCGATCAAAGTTAGTAAACAAATTCAAAACGTCAACTAAAGTAAGTGCGCCAAATTTTTTCCAAAACTTTGAGCGAAGATATCTCAATAACTACTCGACCAAATTCGATGAATTTTTTTTTTGGGTTTAATTCCACAAATATATAGAATTCAATATAAAAAAAAAAATTTTAGCGATTTTGGTCAGGCGGTTGTTGAGATATTCTCGCTCAAAGTTTTATAAAAATTTTGCACGAATTGTTATTTTGAATTTGTTTACTAATTTTGAGCGAAGATATATCAACAACAGCCTGACCAAAATCGATGATTAATTCTATATATTTGTAGAATTAAAGCAAAAAAAAAAAAAAATCATCGAATTTGGTCAGGTAGTTATTGAGATAACTTCACTCAAAGTTTTGAAAAAAATTTGGCGCACTTATTTTAATAGACGTTTTGAATTTGTTTGCTACCTTTGATCGAAGATATCTCAACAATCGCCCGATCAAAATCAAGTACTGTAATACTGTAATGACAATTATTTGAAAAATGGGATTTCTGTCGTGACAATAAGTAAAAATTTTATATGAAATCTGTGAGATAATATATTTTGCTTGATAGCAGAAGAGATAAGACCCATGTGTTTTCATGAAGAGTTTTGAGAGATAAAAAAAAAGCTTTCAAAATTATCGACAGTTTTATATAGATCGTCCAAAAATTTTAGATATAACTGTTAGATCAATTTTATAACCGTTAGGGAGTTTAATAACAGACCGTTAGCATAGTTTTAGTGAAATTATAATAAAACAGTTTATGTGAATAAATAACGATAAAATTCAAATTTATGTTGAATTAATTGATTCAATTTAAAATTTAAAAAGTTCGAATGTAAAAAATCATATTCGATTCTAATTTTTAATCTAGTCGCAATGTTCTCATTAGCTACCTTATTTAAAAAAAATTAGTCAGTTTAAGCTGACGTGGCCTAATTTATCTTTTATTTAGTTATATGAATTATACAGTAGCCTCTAATGTATGAAATTTAGAATTAGCGTATTATAATTATGTGATCATAAAAATTTTGGTTAACGATTAAAAAATCAGTATAAATTTTAAGCGCGATTCAATTTGATTTTTACGTAATAGCAAGGTCATAATTTAATATAAAATAAACAAACTATAAATGATTTTCAAGACATGGATGATCAATTGATGCGAAAAACTTTTTGTGTTAGAACTTCTTGTAACGATTCAAATATTGAATCTTTATCTTCACAAACGTCTCACTTGAGTTCGCAAGATCTTTCATCTGTAAGTCTTGATTCTCAATTCGACTCTGATTCTCAATCTATCTCAACTTCCCAACAACCATCTTTCCGATGCATTTCGGATC